CNTGCGCAAAGGGGGGCAGGGGAGGAGCAGGGCAGAGGCAGCAGGGGGCCGGGGGGCACTGGTGAGGAGCAGGAAAGTGGCAGGGCGGGGCGGTGAGGGGAACAGCGGCCCGCCTTCTGCTGAGCGGGGGCCGAGGTGAGAGCTGGCAGCGCGCGTGCATGCGGAGGCGGGCCATGCAGCGGCGCCGGGGCGCGGCACACAGAGGGAGGGACCCGCAGCGCCGTGGCAGCACGCCGGCCCGGCAGCGCCTCACTCGATGCTTGTTGTGTAGAGCAGCTCCACCACCGCATGGGTCAGCTCCGCACCAGACTCCTCGCCCACGCCATACACCTGCCCGGGAGGGGACGGGGCAGGCAGGCGCACAGGTGGAGCGCGGGGCTGCTGCCCGGGGTGCTGCCAGCCGCTGCCAGCCGCCAAACCCTGCGCTGCCCCAGTCTGTGCCAGCCGCCGGCCGCAGAGCCTGCTTGCTCTCTCTTGCTGCATCCCGCTTGAGCAGCGAACATGCAGGAGCGGCAAACATGCAGCTGCCAGCCGCCACATCCCTCCCCGCCCCCAGCCACGCCTACCGCCAGCAGCGCCTGGGCATCTGCCAGTACCGCCTCCCTCGTGCTGCGCTCCTTCTCCACAGCGCCGCCCGTGGCCTGCGCCGAACGCACCGGCCGCGCTGCGCAGGAGGAAGGCGGGGGGGTGGGGGCAAGGCAGAGAGGCGCCCGCACAGGCGGGGGTCAGCACCGGGAGTGGGCCGGGAGGCGCAACATGCAGGCAGGTGAGAGGGGATGGGACGGCATGGGGCGGGCCACGGCGCTGCTCTGGGCGCAGGCAAGGCTGGGAGGGGCGGGCACAGGCGGCTGGCTGCCCTGCTCCCAGCTTGCGCCTGCTTGCGCCTGCGCCCTCCCCACCCCGGCACTCCACCACTCCTGCAGAGGGCTTGCCCCGGGGCGGGACGGCGAGCGTACCGCTCACCCGACCGCGCCAGATAGATGAGCGCTCGGGCCGTGGAGGCGCCCGCCTGGCGCAGGGAGGCAGCCTCCGAGGGCGACCCCTCCACAAAGTGGATGGCCCCGCCGCCGCCGCAGCCCCCCGCGCCCAGCGCGCGCCCCGTGTCCTCGCACACAACGTCGGGGCGGGTGGGGTGCAGCACGACGATCGGCGTGTCGGCGGGGCCGCACTGCGCAGGTG